TCTTGGCGGGATTCGAACCCGCGACCCCCTTGTGTAGTGACCATGTCACTTACCACTACACCAGACGGTCGTTAAAATATGTATTGTAAATATGTATTAGTATATGTTTCATTACAAAACTAGCTACGTGCGAATTCGAACACTGGCACATTCGCATCGCTCAATACAAATGCACTGGCCCTCTTATCCTTTAGGCTACAATGACTTCATATGTCTCTGTGTATTTGTTTCTTCTGTAACTAATGTAATAACTATTGGCTTGTTTGTAGCATACGTATGGGGTTCAGATATTGACTACATGATGCTACATGGTAGAACGAGACCAACACGAGTCGGTCAAAAGGTAACAATGTATGTATTAAATATATGTGGTGTTGGAATGTAAACGTAATAACTAGATTTATTATTATGTATTGGAACAGATGAAATACCATATATAACATTGAGTCTGTTGAGATTGTTATGTTCGTTACGTTATGCTTTAATTTTATTTCGCAGCATTTTTTACTGCACTAAATGGTGAGAGTACACAATCCCTTTAATATAAAATGATTATATACTCGTATATAATTGCTAAAGTTTGTTACATAATTGTTATTGTGTCTGGCCCACCCCACAAACTGAAATATATGACTGCTTACACATTATTATTATTCTTTAATCTGCAAACACTAACAGAACTCTTATTGTTACATTAAGTCCGTGTTACTATTTTATTCTGAAATAATTAACATTACATATAGGCAACTGAACACTAAGAAACAATCAAGTAATATTATTAACATTTAAAAAAAAAGCATACATAAAAATGAAATATAATTACTAATAATAAATATACTGATACATTCTCTCACAATTGCAACAGGTACGATCAAAAGAAGAGAGTATTAAGAATAACTTGAAGCAATATGGCACGGAGTCTAAATACATTGATATACTGGTCAGTGATTTTTCGTTGCCGCTCTGGAGGGATGGAGTTAAATTCGACGCAATGATTACCGATCGTGAGTTCGTAAAACTTAACCTATTTCCCAATATTAAAACAAAAAATTACACTATGGTGATATGCTACCGCAAGATTTGTAAAGACCTACTGAGGCCTAGAAACACAAGGGAAAAATGCTGATGTTCATAAGTGATCGTAACCATTTAGAATCTAGTGAACGATTGGTTTTCTTCAATAACAAATAACTTTCTTGCAATGCGCTTACTTTATCACTTTTTTGGGATACGTTTTTGGATAAAACAAAATATATACAAATTCATTTTAGTAAACAAAAAATTGTTAAATTTTATTATTAGCAGAGGTCTAACACAGATTTTATTGAAATTAAAATGAACTAGTAAAGTTTTTTCCTGAAACGATAACAATTAAAATGTTAAATGAAAAAACCACAAAGTCCCTGCCAAAAATAAAAAGTTGGTGTCACTCTGGATGATGTAAGGAAGCTAACAAAACCTCTTAATTGAAATAAAGAAACTGAGATACATAAATCCTGAGATATTACGGTCATTTTTCGGGCAGTGTAAAAGATAGGGATTTGTAATCTTTTAATACACTATGTGCGTACTAATGTAACAAATAATAAGTCAGCTGGTGCGCGGGGTCAATGACCTCTCACAGAAGACTCACGCTAATTTCGCGTTACATACACTTACATTATACAACATATTTCTAAAAACAAAAAGTATTAAATTTTATATTTGTTTAGTGTTGTATCGATTTAGTATAATTGAAGACATGAGTGAATCAAGGTGTTATGTGCCTATAAACCATATTATTACAAACGTTAGGGTTACGCTGGAATAGCCTCTCAAGGCTACCAGGTTAGGTAGGAAAAAAAAAAACATTATTAGACTCCGGGATTGAGACTTAAGTCTCCGGGTTTAAAGGATATTTTTAGAAATTGCATGTGATGAAGGATTTACGTACGAAGAACAAGTACAAGTACAAAAGTTTGTTGCTCATTTACTCAAAATTAACAAATTGTATCATATCCACTAATGTCTCTAATTATATGTATGCATGAATTGATTGAAACAGGTCGAAATCTCAGATTCATTTCAATAACAGTTATCTCGCCCCTACATCGTTTCTTACTTCGGAAATGCATGATGACACCGCAATCCCTGGCACTAGAATTTTTCATTTTATTTATCAAATTACATCACGACCTAAAATTTCAGCACCGTACGGCGTTCGCGAACCAACAGAGAAGATCGGTATAGAGCGAAACAATTACACTCTATCTGAGGAGCACCTCACAAATCACATACCTTCGAAAGTGGAATACGGCCTTCCTCATATATACAGTGACCTGTTGAATTTTGCCGCAAGACATCTGGAGATGAACGGGAGACTGGTCTGTTGGTTTCCTGTTATTAGGTGAGGATTACGAACGTTTACGAATATGAAAATTAAAATAGGCGCGTAGGTTCAATGACCTCGTAGAACGTGGAAAGTACGTTCTGAATGAAGGTACTTCTGATTTTTGTAGTTTTTATTTCACCCGTTCGAATCAATAAAAATAATGTTGCATTACTTTCGTATAGTGCTAAAACAAAAATTTATACATACTAGCTGACCCGGCAGACTTCGTAGTGCCTCAATAGATAAATAAAAGATCTAAACTTTTGTATAAAATAAACTTAAAACAAACAAAAGGAATCTGTCCGACGGGGGGACACGTCAAAGGGAAAACAAAATTGTTATTTTTATTTAATTCCACGACATTTTTGCAACTTTACAGAAGAGCCATTTGAAGATTAAAATTTGGAAAAAATATCATAACAAAAACTTCTTCAGCTATTTGAATGGGGTAAACTTAATTGAAGTTCAATTAAAAACATCGAACTGCCGATGCTGATACCAAATAAAACGCACCTTTAATTACAAAGATAAATGTCTCTTAAACTAAATAGCCTTTTAACCCTCGATATAAAATTTTGTTTACAAAAATGACATAAGAACATAATTGGATCGATCGAATTTTATATTGGTAACAATGATTTCAAACTTGTTAATTATTAATAATATTGTTTTTGAATTGTATGATCAAGGGCCGACTATCAAGATGAGCAGCTGCCTTCTCATCCGTGCCTCAGGTTAATCGCAAACTCGGAACAGATCTTAACCAAGTTGACAGCGCGACGCCTGCTGACGTATGAGAAGATATGTGATGACGTATCCAGCGTAACTGTTGATCCCAGCAGTGGAGTTCCCAATTTTAGGTAACTTCTATCCATCTATACTAATATTATAAAGAGGAAAGATTTGTTTGTTTGTTTGTATTGAATAGGCTCCGAAACTACTGAACCGATTTGAAAAATTCTTTCACTGTTTGGAAGCTACACTATTCCCGAGTGACATAGGATATAATATTTTTGAAAAAAATTAGGGATCTTTACTAAAACTTTAATAATGTAACCCAAGGTGTAAAAAATTACCTAAAATATTCTTTGCATCGCGTGCCCTGCGAAAACTATTGATGATAGAATAAAATAATGTACTAGACTAATAGACTTTGTAGAACACATTATTATTTACAAAAAGTGTCGCGACAGCGTATGTCTAACTATTATGGTTATGCCGCAATAGGTGTTCTTTTATTTAAAAAAAATAAACGTCAAATATTGTTGAAATTTTTGGTTAAAGACCCGAGCGGAGCCGGAGCAGGCCGCTTGTCTATTATAAAAGTGAAGTGAAAAGTATTTGTGTAGAGAAAATGGATTACATAAAAAAAAAACAATAAAATTTACAATGTTCTACACACCAAATAAAAGTTTCGTTTTTATTCTGTAACAATAAATACAGTTTGTACTGTTATTATTTTTATTGCTTTATGTGAGACGTTATGTCGACATTACTGTTGTTAAGTGGTTCCAATAACCACATACACATACATTACAACATGAAAGCCTTGAAATAAGTCTCTATTTCTACTGTGTAACGTCAGTGCAATATTCCAAACCAGAAGGTCTCACTGTTTCGTCCATGTAAAAATATTCGAAATTTTATCATAATCCAAATATGAAATTTTCATAATTGGGTATTTTTTTGGAAGTCGTAGACATCACAGTGGTCCCAGAACCGTGCGGTCCCACCAGGGTGCTTAGTGCGAGTTTTTTAACGTTCTCGATAGCGTAAAAGTTAACTCAAATTTGTATGGAATTGGAACGCTTGCCGTTAGGGGCGATGTTCCAACTGCATACAAATTCGATATAACTTTAAATAGTTAAATGAGAACGGGAGAACGTTAACTCGCACTTCGCAGACTGTTACCGAAGTTTTTTTTTTATTGCTTAGATGGGTGGACGAGCTCACAGCCCACCTGGTGTTAAGTGGTTACTGAAGCCCATAGACATTTACAACGTAAATGCGCCGACCACCTTGAGATATAAGTTCTAAGGTCTCAAGTATAGATACGACGGCTGCCCCAGCCTTCATACCAAAACGTATTACTGCTTCACGGCAGAAATAGGCAGGGCGGTGGTACCTACCCGCGCGGACTCACAAGAGGTCCTATCACCAGTAAAATACGATGACTAACATTCATTTGTATTTTAGAGACAAATACTTTGCAATCGGAGAAGAAACAAGACGCGAACGTAAGGAGAGGAGAGCGGAGGAGATAGCCACGTACGCGGCAGTGAAAGCAAGACTCGGTAATGAAGTCACATAGCACAATTTAAATGTAAACTGTAATATTATATCATTTTAAAATAAGTACACTTTGTTTTTATTTAGTTGTTTTGTGTAGACCTTAGGTCAAATGGCTCTATGGATTGTGTAGTTTAGTCATATTAATATTTTAAAGTAATATAGTTTGTTTAAATTACAAAAGTAGTTACAGAAAACTGATAATATAACACATAATAATATGTCTTCGGGTGTATACAAGCTCGAACCCGCAAGTTCCCACGACGCCTCTGAGGCACCCATATTTCTTTCTTTGGTTAAATAAGAGATTTTTTTTATGATTCAACAACTTTATTATTTAAATACTTACATAATATTTTAAATTAAGTCTTTAAATTATAGAACATACTTTAAACATTTTAAAATGCTTCAAATTAAATATAAGTGAAACATTGAGACCGGCAACACAGATTGCAAGAGCCAAGCCAATAATTTATATCAATGAATAATAATGATTATTTCATATCAAATAAGACGGTTATTAGAGGAATATTCAAATACATGTTGACGAATAACACCTTAGGCGCGTACCTTAGCATCTCACACGAATACTGTGAAATAATTTTCTTATCAGGAGGTCAATAGATGACGAAGTTCGCCAGTGTTCATAGTCAGATTTCCTGGTTATATTTATTAAAACTAAGGCTACCTGGTCTCGAATTTTCATCCGATTTTATTGATTTAAATTACTTTAAACCAAACCATACACACATCACAACTATGCAAGTAACCATCCAAAACTATATATTATATGTAACATTTGAAACGAACCAAATTTATTTGTTTTTAACCCAATGATAATATTATTAAACTAGATACAATCGTAAATATTTATTGAAATGTTTAATGTATCAAATATTTTCTTTAAATTAGCCCAAGAGGAAAACGCGGAGTGTGTTAAGTTCATAAAAAACATATTGTCCTGTTTCTCCATGTCTCCCAGTACATTGTCCTTGTGTTTTTTTAATATTTTTGATTTATTGCATAATATATTGATTGAAAGAGCTAATCCGATGGTAAACAGTTACCAGGTCCATAGACATGACAACGTGACTGTCGCCTCTGACCTTGACACATAATGTCAAAGCCTATCATTCCAATTTCCTGGTATCCGCAATTCCTCTAAGCAATGTTACTATAATAATAGATTTCTAATTGATATTAATCCGAAATACACTTATCAACATACATAATGTGACTACCAGAAACCTCGATGCTGAGTTCCAAGAGACATCACATAATGAAAGATACCAGTTAATTTATTCAGTTATGGCCAACGATAGCATCATCTGGGACAGTTGACTTGTCGGCTGAGTTTGTTTGGTTGCCTTGGACTGAGCCCAGTGGCACAGTTTCCACACTTCCTTGCGCTTGCCACTGTTCCCTGATGATTTGTAGTGGTTCAGTAGATTTGTTGTTGTCTGTTAAATAGGCACAAAGGTATTTTTTTAACAAAGTTACTATTCTTTTACATGTTTATGTTGACGTATTAAGAATTTGCTCGGGTAACCCCCCAACTGTTTCTTTTGCTGCGTAATTGCTATGTTGTTCTGGCCTGTAAGGTGTGGGGATGACCACTACAGAATACATAGCCTTTTAAAACATTATTATATTTGAATTCTGATAACCAAATTGCACAATTTGTTTACTACTACTACTTACTACTACTAATAGCCTCAAAGGGCTATTCTGGCTTCACTGGGTGTGTAGAGGCTCACAGGGCTTAGCCTGAGAGATTTTGCTAACCTTTACTATAGAAAGAGCAGTGCTGAATCTATCACCGGGTCGGAATGGCGACCCACCAAGAAGAAACTTAGTGGGTTTACAAGAGTCGAATTGGGAGTATAAGTTGTTCTATTTATTCATTCCTCTGAACTATGGAATCATTCAGATCGTATTTTCTAACAATATTTTTTCTTTCTTTGTTCGTGTCTATGTGTTAGCTTCGAATAAGTTGTAAGTTTCTATTCGTTGTTGGCAACACCGGGGTCTGGTCACGGCAACATTAACGTACAACAGGTGTAATTAGAAAATGTAATCATGGATATTCGACCTTACACCACTGAGATTGAGAAACACTTTTCTATATCTACTTTAATTCACTTGCACTTCGTTCTCGTTTTATGAGATTAACGCTTGTGTCACATGTACTTACCAAGTACAGACCCAGCAGCGACCTCATATTATCTGGATTGAGTTTCACAGACTGACAGTAATACAGTTTTGCCAACTCCAGATTTTCGATGCCGCCCTAAGGACAATAATAGACAATATACAGTTTTAAATATAATATATATACTAATATTATATGAGTGAAGAATTTGTTTGTTTGAACGCGCTAATCTCAGGAACTACTAGTCCGATTTGAAAAATTCTTTCAGTGTTATATAGCCCATTTATCGAGGAAGGCTATAGGCTATATAACATCACGCTAAGACCAATGCAAGCGGAGCACCAATAAAGAATGTTTCAAAATCGGGGTTTTAATCCCTTTTGAGAGCTTCCACTGCGTGCGCTGCGGAATCGATTAAAGTTTCGCTAAAGTAATGTATGAGAGAATTGTTTCCCTTTTTACAGTCCAGGTGTTAAGTGAATATTAAAGCCCATAGGTCAATTTGAATGCCACCGACCACCTTTAGACTAAGATCTTAATGGTATTGTACAACTCTCTCACATAATTCAAACTGAAACGCATGACAGATCCATGAATGACACCGGTATGTGTGTGGTTCGAGAAATTTTGAAAAGAAAAGCTTAGAAAAATGTTTAGCTTTGATAGAGTTAAGGCTTACGAAAAATACAACAAATTATATGTGTAGTTCATATATGTAATTTAGTTATAGTGAAATTGTTTGTAAAATGTAGAGCTCTAAAAATGGACTTGAAGCCCATTTCATAATTTTTGTTGAATTAAATTTCACAATTATCAATACAATTAATCAATAAATTAAAATTTGTAGTACATAGTTCTAATTTCAGAAGGTTCAAAGTGAAAACTGATGTTATGTTAACATACCATTGTGTACCGAATATCAGCTAGCCTCTGATGATGCAAGTGGCTGTGAGGCTGATGGAGGAGTAGTTCTTCGGCGCAGAACACGGCACGCGAGTAGTCCTGAACCTGAAGGTACAGGTTGCAAAGCTCTTGCCAGGCTTCCACATCTGACATAAACCTAAATAATACAGAGTAAATTTCTTTATGCCACAATAATTTTTTGTGAAACTTGATATGAATGAGTATAAGTGCTTTCAAAAATTATATGAGTATAACAAACACATACTTTTTCAAATAGTCCACAAGTTCCTTGATGGCTTCGACTATGTAACCTTGAGCTTTCAGAATGGCGATCCGGCGCTTCCGTGCTGCTGAATTAGTTTCATCTACTTTGATTATGTTGTCCAGTAATTCTAAAGCTTCATCGAACCTATAAAATACCATGAGCATGAAAGGATGTTTTTAATTCCAAATGTACATAACAATACTTGGAAACGAAATCAAATGTTGCAGATCAGCTTACAATCAACCTGCTTTCAATTGGATACTAGAGACCATAGACATCACAACGTAAATACCATAATTCACCTTGAGACATGATGTGTGACCCATTAAACTGGATCACATGACTGCTTAATAGTAATCATCTATTATTAATAACAAATAATTGCTTAAGGTAATGAATATCTTAGAGCCAAAACAAAATAGTCTACAAGCAACAACTTACTTCTCCTCTGCCTCTAAAACAGCTGCTTTTAATTTCATAACTCTTAGGCTACCAGGAAACTCATTGGATAGCATCACGAGGCACAACATTGCTATGCAGTACATGTGACAGTCCAATGCTGCATAGATTACTTGCTCCAGTATAACATGTTCTGTAACAAATGCTACATATATATATGGTGTAGCATATAATTATACACTACAGATATTACATAAACACAGTCATGAGATATTATTATAAAATCAAACTATCCACAACTGTAAATTTTATTATATTTTAATGAATTTGGTCTTTCTATGTCATATCTATGTGATTGGTACATTCAAAGTTCTCACGGTTGCTACAGTTCTGATGAGGATGAGATAGCATAACTAGTTTATACTGAAACAGTAATGAATTTTAAAGGTGGTGCAGCCATTATACTATAAAACTCATGTATAAAGGTGGGCAGCATACAGTACTCTCTTAAGAGAAGACGGGGCGCAATACAGCTAAGCAATAAAAAAAACTTCATAAGGACAACCTTTGAACCACTCATCATCAGCATCACTATCATATAGGTTGCTAGATCTATCAACATCAGCATTGAACGCCATTGAGAACAGGTTTGAACAATACTCCAAAATTCAAAACACACACACATCAGGGTTATAAGTTATTTAAAAGTTATAAACTAGCATAGAAGTTACTAGAAAAGGTAGAAAAAAAATATCTAAAACCACAATGTGTGTTGGCTGGTGAATAGATGTATTCTCGGTTATATTTCATTTACTTATCCTCAAGTATTTGAGCTGCTTGGTACATTTGCAAATTTAAGTGATTCAAAACATAAAAAGATCTATACCAACTCTCGTTTCCAAGTTTGTTTACATCTTCTCTGAGAACCACATCCCAAAGTTCCAGCACTTCTTTGCCTCTCCTCTCATTGTTTTCCCTCCACTGACGGAGAAGATCCTTTGCTTCTACAAAACAATATTTCAAAGTTGTGATATCTGAGATCTAAATACTTATTATCAATTTGGTCTGTTATCTATGATGACCGCAATTAACGTAATGTGACTTAAACAATTCAGACAGCTGAGTTTGTTTTGCCAGTTGCTATTAGTACAGTAGTAGATTCAGTTACATTAAGCTGATTCTTCTAACATGCAAGCACACTTGATGTTTACAAATAAATTGTTTTAAAATATAAAACTACTGTTTTTAATACTTATGTTCATATTTTGTATTATAACAAATTAAAACTCTCACAGTAAAATGTGTAGTTTATTGATGTGTGTGAACAATGACCTAATATTATATTAATATTAACTACAAGATGGCTAGCTAATCTAAAACACAATTAAACACATTTCCTCTATTGACTAATAAAGACTGGTGGTCATGGAATTGCATTGAGGCCTTTTGCCAGCATCTACTCCTGCCCCATTTGCATGCATCCTCCTCAGAGGCTCATGAGCGATAACAATAAGCATGTGATCGCTATAGTATTCAAAATTAAATGTCATGCATTTTGAATAAAATTCCTGACATTCATTTCGGTCAATTTACTCTGCATCTAAGACAGTAATTTTTTTTTCTTTAATTTACCTGATAATATGATAGCTATATCAAAGATCATTTTTTGGATTCACTGTTCTAATACAGTAATCTTTCTAAAATGAACAAACAGAAGTACAATACCCGATACTGGTAGTAATTGAGGTATTTTCAGCCCATATAAGTACAATCTTACTATGTATACTGCAAAGAATTCATACATTTCGATTGTAAGGGTCAGAGTATACTTTTTATAGTGTTTTTGTGCGAATCCACACATTCTATTAGGGAGGTTATATCCATAAGTAAAATTTTTAGTCTAATTATAAAATCCGGAACTATATTTACTTCAATTAAGATATTTAATTTTGGTCTTAGACTGAACCATGATATGATAACTAGCCCACAGTTATTCATCATATTACTGTTAAACAGCTTACCATTGTGGCTTATTTCTTCGTAATTAAAAGACATTTTGTTTACTGTTTTTAATTTAATTTACCCCTAAAACTTGGACTAATATATCACGGACTGAAGCAATTACAAACACTTAAAACAACAAAAATCTAAGTATTTTTAAGTGACCTACAAAACTATCATAAATTATTTTTTTCGAACATTTATGGCAAAATTGGCAAATGCACTAAATGATATTTTTTTTCAGACAGGCAAAAGAAACTTGACCCATATTACTTAATTTTTTGAAACAAAGGGCGAAGCCTTTGCATTCAAAGTAAAAGGGGAAAGAAATGAAATGAAATGGAATTTAATGAGGTGAGATATTGGAATTTTAAAATTCTAAGTAAAATGTGGCTACTTAGTGAGAGTGCTACAGAAATTTAAACAAAATCAACAAAATAAAATAATTTTCAAGATTCCGCTCTTCGCGTTCTCATTCGGGAATTCGAAATCTTTCCGCATCAAACTAAGAAACACCAATTCTTGATAACTTTATTTGCCCATACACCTTTATTACCTTGGGCCAGGAACCTGGACCTTCCGCCCTCGTGTAAAGTTTATTCGCGACTGCACCCTCTATCCTAGACTCAAGTTCTACCTCAAGCCAACAAGTGAAGTAAAATGATCCTTTGTATTAAGGCAATCCTTTATAAAACCGTAATACGGTCTATATATGCGATAGATATACAAATTTTGGTATTTTACCACTTAGCACAATTATACTCCCTTCAGAAAATACAGCCCTATATCTGCAGAATAGCCGTCGAAACAATGTGGAACATGAGGAATATGGATTTTTACGTCAATCAGTGCATATCCGAATCTATCCGTAAGTATATTACGAAAGCTTCGAATCACTACGTTGGGTGATGGTGCGACATGTTAACTAATCATGGCTGTCGACAACTACGCTCAGACTCGGCTCACGCAGTAGTCAATCACCGCCAAGGCCCTATATACATACGTCATCGCGGATCCTTCTTGTCAACTCCTAGTGCTGCTGTAGGACGTTAGTAGTACTAACGCTAGCAGCAAACAAAATACAGGTCACCGTACTTGTCGAAACCAGTGCAGAGTTTGACGAGATCCTTAACACAGTGATATCGATGTAGAAAACGAAATAGTTGCTTTTGAGCTCTTATGTCTCCTACGAGTGCATTCAGGCACTGGTTAGTAAGCTTCCCCCTTAACTGATTTCCTGTTATCCTTCCTTTCCATAAAAAAAGAAGAATAATCAAAATACGATCTGCACACCTTACAGTGTAAAGTAAGGAATTTTGTTACAAATGTCCACAAAGTCATTTATGAACAATTAAATTGCATTTTAAATTAAATATTTACATTCAATAGAATTGAGAATTGTACGCATTGAAGGAATTAGATTGAGAGGAGAGTAAAAAAACATTTTTTTTAAAAGGTAGACCTTCCCTATCTTGAATATCTCAATTTAATTGAAGTACATTAGGAAACAAGGTAATTGCAAATCGTATGTATGGCGTTAAGAGCTGCGCCTCAAATATTTTTTTATTTATGAGGATGATGATAAAATTATTTGTTCATCCATCGTATGGTCATCAGAGCTGGATACATAAGTGAGTCCTCCTTTCACTCAATCCATTATTGGCTGGTACCCTTTGATTTACGAGGCGTATACAGACAAAACAATTTTTATTATCATGTTTGTCATTTACGTTCTCTTCTACGCAGAATGATTTAGAAATTGATGAAAACACGTCGGAAATGACAATTTTGAAAAGTTCATCGACATTTCGTAACGTAGAACGAAACAAGTATTGTGAACGTGAACGAGACGTCTGCAATATGTCTGACAAATTAGAAATATTTATAGAATACGCTTAAACGTAAATGAATAGAGCCAAATATTTGATGATTTTGAAGCAATGGACTATGTACAACACACGATATAATAGGTAAACGCCATAGCTGACTTACCCTTATATTCATGAACTCATTTCGTATTTCATTGTACTTGGTGCCAGACTTTTTATGTCCTAATGGCCTTTATCTTCAAGTTTTGTTTTCTTTTGTACCATGTTTACATGTTGCGCAGCTCATACGATTGTCGGGTGCCAGTTTATAATGTAGATACCTATATTTTATACTGTATTTTGTTCCGCAGATCGATAAGCAACGTATTTGGAAGGAAGTTATGTGTTGTTGGTGTTTGATCGAGAGCCTTGCGTATGAAATGTAGATATGTACGTCACGCACTCTGGACGAACGGGTCACACGGACTACGAACGCGCATTTTAATAGTGAAAAACCAGTCTAACTAAACTGTTTCGTTCGATCTTACCACAAATTAAGCATTCAGTAATTTGTGATTGAAACACCCAACAATGGATCAATTAATACAATGTCCTGTGTGCACCCTTTACCTTCACAATGGAATGAGTTTGGAATCACATCTCGACACTCACCCCAAGGACCAAGTTATCAAAGCTTTGTGTTGTCTTACCTCAAAAGGCAGTGGTTTCGGCAGTAGAACATCAACTCCTGCAAACTCGGAACGCTCATACAGAAGTCGGTCTCGGACACCTGCAGATGACAGATGGAATGGATCACAGCGAAGCAGTGAACCTGACCGCTACTGGCGAAGGCCACCAAGTAGGACTCCCAAATCAACATCAATTACATCTCTATCACGGAATGAGACACCTGAAATTAGAGATAGTATTAATTTTGACACAAATTCAGTTCCATCAGGTCAGCATTCTTTGTCATATGGATTGAAAAGTGATAAAATGCAACAGTTTCAAAGTTCTCAACTGTCAGATTTTGAACAGCCATTTACAGTGTTTCAAGAACCACAAGAAGATAGAGAGATTAAATATTCACGGAGTGCTGAATATACTGCCATGGATAATGTAAACAATGTTTTTACATATAACATACCACCAATAGCTGCAGGCTTAAGGTTTCCACCGCAAAACAATCTTGTGTCAGCAGGTCATAAGAAAGCCCAAGATTTTGTAAAGATTCTACCAAAGCCCAATAACATACTTTTGAAAACCAATGTAGGTGGGATACAGTACATTACATCAGGAGTGAAACCTATGCATGTCATGGTGCCGACAACACCAACATTTGTGCAGAAGAATATACAGAACAACATGCTGATCTCAGGAAATATTTCTAATTCATCAGCCCATATTGATGCTAAAGTTGTAGCTCCACAGTTATCAGGCGCCCAATTCAATAACATGTCAACAGGTGCCTTCACTCCCAGTTTATCAACGGTTGTGACTCAAAATTCACAAATAATTTACAGAGAAATGGTGCATAACATAGATGGTAAGCCTTTTATTTCAAGTATGCCCACTATGATTACAACAGGACCGGATGCTGTGACAAACGTAGCACAAAGTAGTTCAATGTATCAGAACTTAATGGTTTTGGATCAATTTGGATCTTGCATGTACACACCACCTCAACAGTTTGTTCCTAAATCGTGTACTACCACTGTTTATACAGACACCGATACCTTAATTCCAAATTCCCAACTGTGTAAAAATAATTTAAATGACCCAAAAACTTTAATCATAGAAGTTGGCCCAATAATTGCTCCTGAATCAGTTTCATCTACATCTACATCAACCAGTGTGGTGCCATCGTCTGGTGTGTCAGTTAAATCTGATGTAACAGACACATCTGACACCATAAATAAACTTGAATACATGAGTGAGGCGTCAAGTTCAAGTAAAGGATTAAAAATTCTCAGCAATATCAAGGTTGAAGTACCAGTACAGCATAACAAAAATATGGTAAATACTTTAATGGATTTAACAGAGTCAAACGATCCTGATTTCATGGATAGCACTGAGCCCTCAAGATCACCAGAGAAAATCCTGCCTGATTTAGATGACGATAACCACAATATTAGTGAATGTATTCCGCCTTCAAATTCTAGCAGTATCAGTTCAGTACCACGCACATTCACCAACATGAAAAGTTCAAATAATGTTTCACCATACAAAGAGTTATGTAATAAAGTAATCGACTCCGAGTTTAGTGATAGCTGTCCCATTCCTGATTTAATATGTAATGAGAAACCATCGATATCACCATGCAGTGAACTATCAGAGAATGGAGATAATTCCACTGATCGTATATCTATTTCCCCTAAACCACAGAGATCCATTGAAACTCCACATAATAAAGAAATTAATGTAAAGAAGACCACCTTGCCTGTAAAATCAAATAAAAACAATTCTGCACGATTGAACAACATTTTTGTTAAGAAGACCAAGAAAATACTTCAAATAAAGAATGCTAAAACTTTAGGCAGCACTGTGAAGAAGAATGAACCCGAGCCAGTGCCATCAACATCAACCAGTAAATCACCAGAGAATTTCATTATGATGCATGACAGGAACGGACAAATGGAAACTACTACACTCCTAACTGTGTCAGTTGAGGAAATTAAAGAAAATGACGAAACTGATGATTTTAACACAGACATTGGGACACCTATGCAAATGGAACCAGGGCAACGAAATAGTCTAAATGACAGTAATGACATGAAAATAGTTGAAATTCAAGTGAAGGAAGAAGTGAATACAAGCAATGAAGGTGCCTTTTCTAATGATACACCTGCAGTTAAAACTAAGGACAACTTGCGGCCAATCCATGTCATACCATACAGTAATATGTCAGCTGGAGATTTTGATGATGAGTCCAACCACAGAGAACTGCTGGATCTAGAAGCAGCCTCCAAGGGCAAACAGTTTGTCAGTATGATGAACGAGAACTACTTTGGCGAAAATCTGTATCCAGATTATTTCACAACGGACCGTGATGCTTTTGGTAATGAAAGGGAAATTACTCAGAAAGATGGAATGTACAACATTTGGGGTGAACCGTCACAGAAGGAAAATGAATTTGTATTACCAAATTTCATACAAGATACATACAAGATTACAGATAGTACAGGTATAGATTACTCTGCATTTTCTGGAAGAGAGGTACAGGGAGATAAAGAAGGCGATGGTTGTGAGAAGGACAGCAAGGCTGATGTACTAAGTGAAAGCAGGAGCGGGGGTGATACTCCATTGAATATTTGTGCAGATGAGCGTATGCCAGCACGGGGAGAGCTCAGTGGACAGGAAAGCAATGGCGATATGGAGTCGGCTTGGAGTGGGGTAAGAAAATTCTATTATTTTACATATATTTTGTATAAAAAAATCACTAAATATAATTTTTTTTTTTTTTATTTGTGGTGGGCATGTGTATCATTGTTATAATTTGGTTTGGATACAGTTTTACATCAGCCATCTGTCTGAAGTCAATCCTCTTTGCTTTGGCTCAAGGCTTTGAATTCATTAGGTGAGGTCTGGATAGGCCAGAATTTTGGGTTATGTGCCTTATACTCTAATTAACAAACTAACAGACTACCCAATACTACGTAATACTATGTAAAAATACTCTTTCCTTTAAATAATTTTTAACTACCCTTTTTCAGACTTTACCTACCACATAAAATAAGAGCTTTAGTGAAAAGAATATCAGTTCAATAAACTTGTTATGTCCCTTTAAGTGCAGGACAGTCAAATGATGTTCATGTTAACCATGTAATTTAACATTCTTTAAAATGGAGAAGGATACATATCTTTGTCTCAGTCCTTTAATAGATGAAGTATATTAATTATGTTAAAATTCTTGAAAATTTTTAAATAAATGTCTACATGAATCTCCATACAGATAAATACATATTATGTGTCTCGTGTTTAAAAATATTAACATATTTTTTATAGCTTTGCTGCAAATCAGTTGATTTGGGTAGTTACTCAATTTATTCTGTACAAGAAACTTGTAATGAAAATTGTTATTAACAAGATTATCTAAAAAAAGTCTGGGACATTGAATTTTTTTGCTTTTGAGTGGCTTAGGTAGTTAAGTTAAAGAAATCTTGCATTTTCCACTGGACGCATTCTCACAGATATTTCATTAAATTCCTTTTAACAGAATAGTGAGGGGAAATATAACTTAATATAGCTCTTTGAATTAGCTTAATATTCCGTAAATCGAAAATTTTCCAGATTGGTTACCAGAATTGGTGCCGTGCAAGTTATGTCTTTTTAGTTGGTCGTTTTTATTCACAGATATACACCGAGGTTACCGCGTCGGAGCCCTATGACCTCATCGCGAGGGAGAGCTGGGTCTCGGACGGCTCCGAAGTGGATCTTGCTGAGAAGATGGAAACGCTGTTAGTATGCCTAAATATAATAATACAACAATGATATATTTATTTATTTATTCATTCATTCATTCATTCAAATATGCACAAAAGTACAGCGACGTATTTAGTACCTAAGGCACTCTACCAGTCAACCAAAGGGTGGTGTAGAGAGTCCTTTGTTAAGTGCATTCCTTTTTGAGAAATAAGAAAAATAATATACTGACACCAAAAATGGCTTTGTTGCGTCTGAATACTATACATAAACAGGATATTCCTTTTCTTGTCTAGTGTGTGTTCATCTGGGACATTTGCATTTGTGTGTAAAATTATATACACACTATATACGCATTAACATGTGCTTTAGTATTTACTTATACAGGGTGTACTTTAATTATTTATTTTTATAATTTAAATTATTTTTATGGTGTAATCTCGCATTTTTTACTGCCTTTAATTATTTTCGTCCTTTCGATTACTGTACAGTTTTCGTTGTCGCGGACGATCGAAAAGTAATTTTAAAGAATACCTAATAATGTACTGAATGTTTCTATTTAACATTGATTTCAGTTTACGTAAATTTAGGGCTATTTTTATGAATTTTTACGAACGCGTGCATGTTTCAGGGACGATGACGTGACACTGAAGAAGGTGCGCGGCGGGTCGGGCGCGGCGGCGGGCGGGCCGGGGGGCGCGGCGTCGCGCGTGTCGTACAGCCGCCTGCTCACCGCGCGGACCATCAAGCGCGAGCGGAGCGCCGCCCGCAACAGAGCCGCGTGTAACGCATGTTTTATAACTAAACATTTACTGGTGGTAGGACCTCTTGTGAGTCCGCACGTGTAGGTACCACCACCCGGCCTATTTCTGCCGTGAAGCAGTAATGCGTTTCGGTTTGAAGGGTGGGGCAGCCGTTGTAACTGTACTTGAGACTTTAGAACTTATATCTCAAGGTGGGTGACGTATTTACGTTGTAGATGTCTATGGGCTCCAGTAACCACTTAACACCAGGTGAGCTGTGAGCTTGTCCACCCATATAAGCAAAAAAAAAAAAAAACTATGAAGTGGTTAAAGGCTTAAGCGACATTTCGCAACTTTACAGGAGAGCCATTTATAATTGAGAATTTTGAAAAAAATATAACAAAATATTCTTCAGCTATTTGAATGGTGTAAACTTAATTGAAGTTCAATTAAAACATCGAATCCAGCATCATTTGACGGAGAAAAATTTGCTGATTCAGAGTATGTGTATAACTCGATGTCATCCTTGGTGTCGCTTAAACTAAATAGCCCTTTAACTTCTCGAAATATATCTTACAAATGTGATATTTCAAACTGAATTATATCGATACATCAGAACCATCACATCTGAAATAAGTGATGTTGAAATATTGAAATACTGCATGTTATCAGTTCGATTTGGCAATGACATGCATTCATCAACGAATAGATATTTTAGATTAGTAGTAGTAAAGTAGGTTCTGCAAAGCATGGCTCTTGCGAGGGCTAGTGTTAGCAACGTCACCAAGGTCAGAACCCCGAGAGCTCACCTACTCGCCCGGTTCCGGTGGCATAACTCTTCTAGTAGAGATGGTTCGTGCTAGGTAAATCAGATACTAGGTCTACCTGTTCCTAATCTTAAAAATACCTAATCCAAATACCTAATCCACATAATCTTCCTAATCTCATTCACAACCAATACTTTACTTAGCAAGCAATCTCAAATTGCCTATTCCTAATCTCAAGTTCTAAGTTCGTTATTACGTTTTGATTAATGTGATCGTTGGATCATTATTTGAATTATTAGAATTAGGCATTTATACAGATTATACAGATTGATAAAATGGGATTACATGCAGCCTAATCTCGTAAAATATCTAATACTCTGGTCTGTTTTAATAAATGCGACCCATCTACCTTTTAGGTTACTAGTTTAGCCAGGAAAAAAACTGGCTACCCCTTTTAATGAACGCATCTGGTTCTCGGCAAAAGCGCTTGCTCTATCGCCAATAATGTCACTAATGAATAACTAACATAAATTCCCCTTCACAAATTACAGGTAATCTGATAACGGTCGATTCGAAGGCTTCGATAACGACCACGATACTTCAGTCATACGACATGGAGGACTCCAAGCCGAAGATCGAGGGTCTGATCAAGCAGGAAACGAAGCGTAGAAGGAAGGACTTCGTCTGTTCGACCTGCAAAGTGGACCAGCTGACCGACGCCGCCTTCCACGCGCATCTCAAGATACATCCGCTGGAGTGCATGACCTGCGGGAAGTGCTTCTACAGAAGAGCCAATCTCGCTCTTCACATAAAGACGCATTTAGGAATTAAGAATTACAAGTAAGTTCATCCTCCTCCACGAGTCGCATTTCTCATGTCCGAAGGTCGTGACTATCTCCTCCCATTATCCTTCACTGGATGATTTTTCGGCATCTTCCTCTGGTCTCAATCTCTATAACAAGTAAGTTACTGGCTGTGAAATGTTGGTTCTACAAAAAATGTTTGACATAGGACAAATTTAACATGCTCTAGCTGACCCGGCAGACTTCGTTGTGCCTCAATCGATAAATAAAAGACCTAAACTTTTGTATAATATAAACTTAAAACAAACAAAAGGAATCCGTCCGACGGGGGACACAGGGGATCAAAGGGAAAACAAAATTGTTATTTTTATTTAATTTCGAGCATTTTCATATTTATCTACCTTTTAAAGCTTCTCTGGACTTCCACAAATATTTATAGACCAAACTTAGCCAAATCGGTCCAGCCGTTCTCGAGTTTTAGCGAGACTAACGAACAGCAATTCATTTTTATATATTTAGATATATTTAAATTAATAGTGCCATTTAACTCGATGGACTACATATGCAATATGGGATTAGTTCAAGCGCTCCTGTAAATATTATAAGTCAGAGTTGGAGATTAAAGAGATTAGAAAGACTCAGATTCATGTATCAAATTATTATTGTCCTTTTAAAGTTAGTAATTGTGTTCAAAATTATTTTTGCCGGTGGTTAGTTACATTCAAATACTAACTGGTTTATAATCTGTCAAACTTTCATTTTTAAACCTGAATGAAAACTACATAATTAAATAAAAAGAAAAAATACATCGTCTTGATGTACCTTCCCTTTGTTTGTAAACTAATCAATAGACACAGCCCACTGAGTCTTCCGCCGGGTTTTCTCAAGTGAGTTGCGATTCCGATCCGGTGGTAGATTCTGCGAAGCACGGCTCTTGCTAGGGTTCGTGTTAGCAAAGCCTCTCAGGCTGTGTTCGTGAGTTCGCCTACATATCCGTTGAAGCCAGAATAGCCCCACGATGCTACTGACAGTACATAATTTATTTATTTATTTGGGAAACAAACAGTACAATACAAACATATAATATTTAAAAAAAAATAGCTAAAACAATAACCAAATATGTTTCCACAATCAAAATCACATATAAGTAGAAAGTGAACAAGAAGAGAAATTTAGAAATTTAAATTACAAAAAAAACAATAGCAACACAATACGCTCATATTATTTTATAAATCAACTTACACTGTAAAACTATAATACTCATCGTGTTAAATCACCTTATAAGTATTTTAAAAATATATTTAAAAATAATATGTTTACTTTATCAATTTCAGATGTGACGTCTGCGAGAAGAGGTTCATAACGCGACAGAAGTTAACGGAACATCACAACATACACACGGGACGATCGCCGATCAAGTGCACCCACTGCGACGAGACCTTCAAGAGATACTCCAATATGTTGCAGCACAGGTATGCAGCGGACGAATGCGATAGATAATTTATTAGATTCATTCCAGATTATATATTTTGTTTTATGGAATTCCGACTTTAAGTACGATAGGTAGGATAGTTTTTTTCATAAATAGTGTTTATACTGGAATGCGATATTGGCTAATGTTTATCTAAAAAAAAAAATTGTTTAAAAAAACTAACAAAATACGCCTTTATAGGAAATCCAACTAAAAATAGAAAATAAATTTTAATAAAAAAAATTGTGTAAGCAAAAATTATTTTATTGTAAACTATTATTTATTTTTAATTTTTTAGTTGAATTGAAATTTTTTCATATTTTTCCCCCATTTTTTTAAATATTGAATTGTCATCGGTCCTTAATAAGTATACCAAACTTCGAGGTAATCATCAGGGGGTCAAAATCATGTTCGAAGATTCCGTTACTAAGGTACATACGTCTGAAGCTAATAAAAGCATATTAAAAAGCGTGTTTATTTTAGCATTAGTTAAAAATATAGCACACTAAATTTTCGGTGTGAGTGTTAAGTAACGTTTAATGTGAGTGCTTTTCGTTTGACAGATTGATTCTTCTCAGTGAAAAAAATAAATTTATTGGTGATAGGATCTCTTGTGAGTCCGCGCGGGTAGGTACCACCACCCTGCCTATTTTTGCCGTGAAGCAGTAATGCGTTTCGGTTTGAAGGGTGGGGCAGCCGTTGTAACTATACTTGACACCGTAGAACTTATTATATCTCAAAGTGGGTGGCGCATTTGCGTGATGTCTATGGGCTCCAGTAACCATTTAACACCAGGTGGGCTGTGAGTTCGTCCACCCATCTAAGCAATAAAAAAATATATAATAATAACGTAAATATATAATAATAACGTTCGTCCGCAGAGACCGGCACCACCTGTCGAAGCGCGTGCGCGCGCGCGAGGTGTCGTGCGAGTGCGGGCTGGTGTTCGCGTCGCGCGCCCGCCTGCGCTGGCACCGCGAGACGCACGCCGCGCGCCCGCACGCCTGCGCGCTCTGCAGCGACAAGTTCGTGCACGCCGCCTCGCTCACCCGCCATCTGCGCCGCACGCACCGCCAGCCCGACCCGCACCTCGACGTGCCCTGCCCCGTCTGCAAGCAGGTCTCTGCTACTATCTTACTGCTTTACTTAAGTAGTAGTCGTTTTATTTTTCCAAATGGAAAGGCAAAGGTATCATACCATACAGCCTAATCTTTTATATATTTTTTTATTTTATGAAATTTTATCCTATGAAATGAAATGAAGTTCATTAATATGTGAAATATGGCATGAAATGAAATGAGATGAGAGATATGGGATGAAACATAATCTCAGTAAAATGTTGGTCATTTACTGAGATTTTTTCAGTGAACTTTTTGGAACATCCCGAGAAGCTATGTCCAGCAGCTTTCTTTCATTTTCCCACATTTGTGCACTTTCACAGATATTAAACAGTTAATAAACCACCGTTACTACACATTTAAACCTGAAGAAACACCAAAACCTCGAGTTCCCGCCAAAAAGTCAATAATAGGGGTTAAAGTATGAATTTGCCACATTATATTCTATTGTAATAGCTACTTGACATTGACATAGAACCTTCATGGTTTGAAATTTTCGAGTGAAACTTTTTTCAAATGGAACGTATGAGATTGTTCTTTTAAAAAATGTGCAACGTTCGGTTATCGATTTTCAGTTGTTGTTTTTTATTAAGCTTAGACAAGAAATATGGATACTTCGAAAATTTGAGTAATTTGAAACTATACAGGAACTGCAATTAAAAACCATTCGTCACCCTCCCTATTCGCCAGACCTTGCTCCAACGGACTATCATTATTTTTCGTGATTAAGACAATTTTCTACATAATAAAAGTTTTCTTCCTAGGAGGCAGTACAAAATGCTTTCACACAGTTTGTAGAAACTAGATCACCAGAGTTCCATCGCAAAGGTATAAATGACCTTCCTATTAGATGGTAACAATATATAGATAATAATCACTACATAGTATAAAACAAAGTCGCTTTCTCTGTCCCTATATCTCTATGTATGCTTAAATCTTTAAAACTACGCAACGGATTTTATTGCGTTTTTTTTAATAGATAGAGTGATTGAAGAGGAAGGTTTATATGTATGGATGTAATAACATCCATTAAATAGTGGAGAAATCAATAATAAATTACAGTTTCCTAAGCGAAGCGAGGGCTGGGCGCTAGTGATATTTTGATTAAATAAATATGTTAAATTAAAAAAATATATCAATTTTTCAGTAGAAATCGGAAACTTCATACTTTAACCCGTAATACATGGCAGATACTGCCGACCGAGTCAGTAGTAGCTAATCTCCCTGTCTCGCTCCCACAGCTGTACATCCGCACGAACTTGCGCGCGCACATGCAGACGCACACCGGGAAGCGGCCCTTCCCGTGCGTCATCTGCAACAAGTCGTTCACCACCAAGTGGAACCTGAAGCTGCACCGGTGGACCCACATGAACCGGTCCGCGAAGCCCTTCAAGTGCCACCTGTGCAAGGGCGCGTTCATCCGGCAGTCGGAGTACGTGTCGCACATGAACGCGCACAAGTCGGTGCGGCCCTACACGTGCAACTACTGCGGCTGCAAGTTCATCAGGAAGTACAACTGCCAGAGGCACGTCCGGGAGCACGAGACGGCCAAGAAGTTCGTCTGCAAGGTCCAGGAGTGCGGTAAGTCGTTCCATCGGAGCTACTATCTGTCCGAGCACATGAAGGTCCACAGCGGGGTCCGTCCGTTCGCTTGTAACATCTGCGGGAAGACATCGAGCAACAAGTCTAATCACAACAAGCACATAAAGATCCATCACGCGCGGGAGCCCGTGGCTACAGAGGCGTAGTGGCGCCTCCGACGTTCTTCCACTTATTCGTTTGAGGGGCTCGCGTAAGCGACAATCCATATAAATAGCCAAATTAGTAAATGTAATTAAATTTTAAATACTTACCTTCTCTATATCCAAATAATAGGTAGATTTTCAATTAAAAAAAAATATAGCATAGATTAATTATGTAATATTAAAATCTTAACGAGCTCCCCAAACGCTTAAAAATACGTATTTTAAATAATATTAACTGAAGGCGTCATCGTCGTCATTGTAAATAACTAGTTAAATTTATACATATATATATATTTTTTAAATTGTAAATACGGACCAAGAGTGAACGAAACGAATGGGTTGTAAGCGATGTTGTTACGGTTCACGTTGTCTGCGCCCTCGTCGATTTTCATTCGTTCGTTGGAAGGTTCATTCGATTTCATTCGTAAACGGGTTCGGGCGTGTGAGAGTCGACTAGGTTTTCGTAAACGAGGTAAAACTTTGGCGCACGATATTATCGAGCGGTCTTTGTTCAACCACAAGCAGTAGTTTCACGAAACATTCGATTTATATTCCATGCTAATTCTGTGGCGTATAAGCTATTGATGTTTCCAAGAAGTACGGCGTCTTAAAGGCTGAGCCTTGACACGATTACCTATTCACATTTTTCAATATAAAAAAAAATTGTAAATATAATGTAGCTTTAGAATATAGTTAAGTTATTAAAAGACATGTAAGATTAATATCGTGCGTGACAGTCATAGTTTTGTAAGTTAGTCAAATAAATTTTGAGGGCATTTCGGTGTAAGTACCCCGCTTACAATGAACTACAATATATAAATAAATAAATATATATATTTTTTCTATATCATTTGCTCTTTATATAATAAACAGGTCAGTTTTTTTAGCAGCAATTAATAACAGTATATAATTCGCCTGAATATTTTGTGGTAGTTTTTCGCGTGATTTTAGTTGAGGTTGACAACATTATTCGAACGCAGTCCTTTTGGTAACATTATCACTAAACTGTTTCTACTGTACGAAAATCGACTCAGTAAAATGGTGGTTAAAATGTACAGGAAGTTGTTTGGAAGGGCATGATAGATGTATTGAAATAGTTCGCGACCCTGTAGCTATAATAATCTAGACCCTCACAAGCCATCGGTTAAATTTCCCACATTGTCAACCTCATGTTAATCACTATATTGAGTTCAATCGTAACAAAATTATTAATAATTCTAAAATTATTGTGAATTGATCGGCAGCTTCAACTGTATTGGAGTTGAAGCTTCCTCTGAGCAACAGATAAGCAATATTTCCGCGGACTAGCGGTACGTTCATTCTTGTAGTACAAATATAAATCTTAATAAGTTAGTATATTTTATAATTAAATAAAAACTATTATATTCATCATTGAAAAAAAATATGTTATTTATAGTAGGTATGTATTTTTGCCTTTGTTGTTGGTCATTGAGAGTAAAATATTTTAAATGGTGATGTCAGGAAAACGCGTGATAGGATTCTTTTGTATTTTTAGCCGATTTTACAAGAAAGAAGGTTCTGGATTCGTGGCGTACGTTTTTTAATTCGTGACGTGCTGATTTTATAAGTATTGGAGAAAAAAATTGAAATCTGTTGTCACTTATGCTTCGTCATTTGGTAAAGTTAGATACTTTATTAATTTTTTTTAACAAAAACACGACATAGTTCCAGCTTTACGTCAATTATAATTTTTTTTGCCGTGATCTAAAAAAACCTACCAAAATATTATTGTGCACTACCCTATTTTGAGTTAAAGCTCAGTTATACATGTAAATATTATATTAAAATAATTAGTTTTTATTTTTATTTATTAATAATTTTCATTTTATCTTGTAGCAGCAACTCATTGAACTTCTAATATGACGGTAGTCTGTTGAAATTCAAATTAAACCATAAAATAAAATGTAAGGGCGCAATGAAAACTGTTTCGATCCACGAGTGTATAGTTTGGAATCCATTGACCCGTCTGGTTGAAATGAAAATTTTTTTTTTTTGCTGATGTGAAATATTTGTAACCTGCGTATTACGGCATCCATTAACGTTCGCTTGTGAGGCTCCCTGACTGTGACGGCAATGTATACTATCCCGAGACGAGCATTAAAAATAACGTGGAGTATTATCTCGCTTTTGTTTGTTTGCATTTCATAAACAGTTGACTTTCCGCACGTAGCTTCGTCCACGTCGACTGTGATATATATCGCGTATTCAATTTCAGGTTTGAAATTATTTACATAACTATATAATGATTTTTCAAAAAAAAAAAAAATTGGTCAATATTAATTACACATGTATCCATAACATATACCCGTACAAAGCGTTACTTGTTGAAATAAATTTGTATATACATATATTATAGGCACGTCATATTATCGGAGCCCCACTGTCTTTTGTGTACCATTTTTATTTAATGTGGCAAGAAGGCCTCGATTAAGACTGATTTTTCCAATGACGTTGATTGGTGTTCAAGCCATTACTTCTCCATCTAGAGGTCAGTAGCGGCGGATATATTTTATTCGTTTACTTGTACGCCCCTCGTGAATCGGAAAAGGTTTTATTACACTCTGCATTTCTTATTTGTGTTGTTCACACGAGTTGTTTCTAGTTGTCTTGACACTTCAGTCCGAAAACAAAGATGATCAGAATGAGCACTTTCCGAAGGTCAGGTTCCTCAAGAATTTAGTTATTTAAAGTTTTTCTTGTGTAATATGAAACTGAAAGATTGTTTTAGTTCGCTCAGCAAAACACATATAACCCTTTCAATTATAATAAGGGAATGTCAAATAATATATATTACATAGGGACGTCATATTTGGTAAATATTAAATGCACGGAAGAGAGTTCGCAAATTTCTATAGCATCCCAATTATAATTTATACCGCATGGTATCTCATTTTCATAACAATACTAATTGTGTTTACATAAAAACTTTTTTTTTCACATAAACAAAAAAAAAACTAAAATGTAATCAGAAATAATCCTATGCTCCGTAAAATGAAGAATACATCTAGCAATTAATAAAGATTTGTGATAATCTATTAAAAGAAGTTCAAGAAGCAATGTTGAGGTCTAGAAAAAAATGTAATTGGATTTTGAGGAGACCTACACCTAAAGAGCGTTATTCTATTTGTCTTCACTATATATTTTGTCATATTAATTAAACATTAGTTACCTCCACACCGACAAAACTAAATTTTATTGTAATTGATTCTGTGCCTGAAATTTCAAACCAGTAACATGAAACATAGCAGCCAATTATTGTCAAAATTTTGTTGTAAAGTACCGTCGATCGACTTTGTTTGAAAGTCTCTTGAGACAGTTCAAAAAACCTTTTTGCTTCACTACTGAAATAGACTTGTGTGAATCCTACATAATATTTTGTATATAATATTATATATGTATAAACAGATTAATAGAAAATGACTACTTAATCAATGACTTGTAATTATCAATACCGCTGTGCAATAATAGTTTAGATATATTTTTTTAAATATTGTTTGAAAATGTAATTGATTTCGAATACTAGTGCTGTCATGTTTGTTTCAAAGTGTTTTCTGGGGGTTGCCAGTTGTGGAAAAGAATTTTATTTCCGGTACATATTGTATGCATTGAAATAAAATTCAATGCCATAAATATTGAAATATTGTAAGGTTTTAAAATTAACAATATTAAAGAAATTTTAATTAATTTGCATAATTTAAATACATTAAACACTTCATGTTGGAAATTTTTTGGGGAAAAAAGATATGCAGTATTAAAAAAAATTGAAAGTATACAGAAAAATTACATAATATCTTGAAACATTTAAAAAAATTTGCTCCGCAACTGTTTTGTAATAAACTCTAAACAAATTTATTTAAAATATTTTTATCTGTGTTTATCTATATTATAAATAACACTTAGACGTCATTGAAAAAAAAAAAAGGTTTTGTTTTTGTCTCTGTAGAATATTTTAATTATTATTATTACATATGCTTTAATGTATTTCATAATACTGGTCACATTTAGTGTAAAAAATTTAAATATGTTTTTAACTCAGATTAGCTTTGTGCGCAAAAAAAAGTTCTCTTAAAAAAGGTCTAGACATTCGGTCTTGTATTAAATAATTTTATTTTTTACGTTAAAATATCGGCTCCTTCGTTCGATCATAAGGATGAACTAGTTTTTGTCACGACGTGTGATTAGGATTGTGTTTTGAAGAATTATTATTTTTATAACATGACGTATGATTGGTCACTCATATTAATTACTTATTCGAGACAGAAAAACGAGAGCTAATATCATGTCAGGGTGACTAATTTAGGAACATCTACAGGCTTTCATTATAATTCGGAAAATATTACTGGTGGTAGGACCTCTTGTGAGTTTACTGGTGGTAGGACCTCTTGTGAGTCCACGCGGGTGGGTATCACCACGCTGCCTATTTCTGCCGTGAAGCAGTAATGCGTTTCGGTTTGAAGGGTGGGGCACCCGTTGTAACTACACTTGAGACCTTAGAACTTATATCTCAAGGTGGGTGGTGTATTTACGTTGTGGATGTCTATGGGCTCCAGTAACCACTTAACACTAAGTGGGCTGTGAGCTCGTCCACCTATCTAAGCAATAAAAAAATTTATCGTTTTCCAATAAGTGCTCGTTAAGAATTTGATAATTAAAACGTTTTATTGTGATATTTTTCGATGTCGCAAAGTTCATCTTTTGAGCCACGAGTTGCGGCGCGATATAATGCGACTTGTGTAACGAAGGACACACGTATAAAAACTCGTTTTGAGTATAAACTATGACTAATGAATCTAGTTCAATTATAAAGCGTATAAAGTCTCATTCAAGAGATATAAATATGAAGCCACTGCCGCTACAAATCGCATCGCATCGTATCGCATAGCCCTTGCAAGATAAGCTATGATCTTTATTTTACTTCAACTACAAATTGGCTACTTGTCGTATAACGTTACGCTGCAAGGCCTTTACTTTCATAAAAATTTTAAATCTCGCAAAAATGAGCCAATCTTCCATCATCATCACCCTGCGGCAGTCCAGTGCCGGACATAGGCCTCCCCCAAAGCTCGCCACTGAACCCGATGTTCGGTCCTATAAGCCGCGCTAATAAAGAAACGAATCTAAAATGGCGGCGGCGATAATGCGCTCTCACTCTAAACTATTGCTGTCTTTAGTTGCACACGGCGTGTACTGCATGCAAACAAAATATCAGTTCAAAAAAATATCAAAATAAATATAAAAAAAATATCGACTTAGATGACGGGCAGCAAAAGTGTCTACGCAAGTTGCATCCCAGATGAGACACCTCCCCCTCTGCCAGGGCACCAAAGTAAAGTAAAGTACATTCTCATTTGTTTTTTTATATTTTTTTACAATAAACAACTTTTTCTTGATATCTTTCTTTTTAATTGTTGACCCTACAATCTGTGAGTGCAGGTACATAGACGCCATTTTCGATTCGTTTCTTTATTGGCGCGGCTTATATGCATCCAGTCACTGCCAGCTGCCTTACGCAGGTCGTCGCTCCATCTAGCAGGAGGGCGTCCTACGTTTGCCGGTACGCGGTCTCCACTCTAGTGTGCTTAGTGCGAGTTTTTTAACATTCTCGATAGCGTCAAAATGCACTCATATTTGTATGGAATGGGATCGTTTTCCTACGTTTGCCGTTAGGGGCGCTGTTCCAACTGCATACAAAATTGGGTTAACTTTTACGCTATCGAGAACGTTAAAAAACTCGCACTAAGCACACTGAACACGTCTACTGCAACGGTTATCGGTTCTGCGACATATGGTGACCGGGCCTTCCATATCTAAAGTTAATACTTGATAGATTTCCATGCGATTCATGAAGTGGCGCCAAAGAATTGTTACTTTAAAATTCCACAAACGTGCACCTAATACATGTTTTAGTAGACTCCATTACATATACTCTGTTCGTTTATTTTTTCCTCTTCTTCTTCTTCTTTATATATTATAAAAACACACCAGCTGTGTTCATATAATGAATGAATGTAATTTTTTACGCATAGAATAACAATGATCTCGTTATATTTAAATTAAAACAAAAGAAGTGTCTTTTTTTTTTTTCGTTAAGGTTTTAAAATAACGCTAGTGTAAAGTTGAGGTTATGTATTTTTTTTTTTGTAAATCCGTTGTCTATGGTTCGTAGCGGACCCGCAAGTAAAATTGATGCGTAAGGTGTTTTTTTTTTTTAAATCCATGTACGTTAGCTTAGCCGGATAGAGAAAAAAGTTATGAAATGTCATTTAAAATTTTAAATGACATTTTACTCATTTTCATTATTATGATACAAAAGTAGCACTCATAAAACAAACCAGTCAGTATTTAACGTTCTTATATGTAATTTTATTATATAATAAATAATAGAATTTGTATGTTCGTTTGCCTTTATTTACAATTAAAAACATTTATATTTCACATATCAAGCGTAATTTTAGAGAAGCTCAGACATTGTATATTATTTTAACACAGAAAAGAAATCTGAGTTAGATGTTGCTTAAAAAAATATACATACTTAGTTATATCATCAGAAAAGTCACTCAGATTAACTTTATGATTGTAAAACAGATTAATACAATGCAATCTCTAAAGTAAAATCATAATATTTAAAGCATCACTTTTAGTATATAAGCAAAAAATTAAAATTATTAGACGTACGTAACAATCATTATAAATTGTTATTATTTATGCATGTCTTGTATCGACATACAGTTAATATTTTACCATTATATTTCTTTTCAAATTCAACATTGATTTTTCGGCTATTTAAAATTTAAAGCGTTTTAATTTTTAAAAAAAGTATTTTTAATTTCTTTGTCATCGCATTAGAAACGTCTGCAAATATAATTTATAAAATGAATACGAGTCGAAATCACGTCGAGGGGTAAAAGGTTATTTGATTTAAGCAACATTTTTGTAACTTTACGGGGAAGCAACTTAAAGTTTAAAATTTCGAAAAAATATCATAACACAAAAAAAACTGTCTCGGCCATTTGAATGGAGTAAACTTAATTGAAGTTCAATTGAATATGCGATTTCGAAAAGGGCACATCTCTGAAAATGTAAAATGTTCAGGAAATGAAAAAAAAAGATTATTTTCTAAAGCAGTGTAAAATTTAAAATATTAACTTTGGAGATATATTTTAGTGTTAATTAGCAATTGAAAATTACTGGAATTATTATAAAATGGGTGTAGGTAAGCCTCAAAACTACATGTATATGAAAAAAGGTATTTGACAAAATATGCGACATGTGCCCTTTTCGAAATTGCATATTCAATTAAAACAGCAGTATTAAAAATCTAAATTTTCATTAAATCAAAATTCTAAATTTAAAAAAGATTCTAAAATGCAACCAGTTATATTTTAAATATGTAAAGTATGTACATGTTCATATATTTTACAGGACTTATGTTTTTTTTTACAATGAAAGGTTCCCGAGAAGTCGGTACATGTTCGTGTGAGTGAAACGATTTCGTTTATGGAGATTATTTTGAAGCGATATTATGTAGGTACCTTTCTATGAACCGTATAAGCAATATATATTTTTTTTATATTGTAATTTTTCAAGTTATACTTCTTTAGGCGCGTTATGAAAAATTGATAAGTGAAATTTTACGATGCGCGCGCACCGTGATACAAGATTAACAGAATGAAGTTGCCCACTAAATCGCTCATTACAATACGACCGACGTAACTTGGCGAGTCTGAATATAGCCGCAGGTGAACTTTCCGAACCGCACCGAGCATTACCGAATTTATACGATGTCAAGAAAAGGGATGTCCAATATGCGTGTTTGAGGATGTTGTTTAATCGATTTTTTTTCAAATTGATTAAAATTAAAAAAAAAAGAAATAAATTTAATAAAAATAAAGTATAACTTCTTACG